AATTGATCGCCAATCTATCATTGATTTTTTTATTCACTGTAAATCGATTCATTAATTTGAATTTTTTGGAAAAAAAAAAACTTTCTTTCAAATCCTATTTTATAAAAAAAATACCGAAGTGTGCAAAATTTTTAGAAATTCAATTTTGTCTTAAATATAATCAATTTCGTTAATAAATTTTAAAAAGAAACAACTGCAGCAGTCGCAAATCATCAGAATTGTCATCGACGTCGATTATTTTTGGATATGATCCCGGAAATTATCGTCAATTTTAGCCGCAAATTTTTTCACGCGCACTTTTTGACTCCAATTTTGGAGATGGCAAACGACAAAGTGGCAAGTATTAGGTTATTGTTTATTTCTTTTTCTTTTTTTTTTTTTAGTTAAATTATTTGAATTTTCGCTTACTGATAACGCATTCATTTTAAGTTTTCAGCTGCTTTTTTAAATTATTTTGAGGCTTTCGAAATTGCATAAATTATTAGAAATTTTAGTATTCACTTGTTGTTTCTTGAGCAGCGCTATCAATTTTGTCATTAAATTACATGATATTTGATAGAGTAAGAATAGGTAAATAAATCTGAAGTTAAAATCAATTTTTGAATTCCTTATTGGCTCTAGCTCTCTAGTATGTGTTTTTTAAAGATTTAAATTCTTCTAGTCGACTTTAATGTTAGGCATTATTTTAGAATATATTTTGCCTATTTTTGAGATTTTTAAATTTAAAATTTCAAAAAGTTTTGAAGATCTTTTTACAAAATACTTTGCAGATTGCAATTGTGTCATATGCTTTCAAAAATAAAAGCAAATTTGTATTTGCCCCAGGATGAGGAAATTTTGCTACGTGTAGAAGGAATTATTCGTGATTTGCTTTCCAAAGAGCAAAATTCATCAACGCGACAATTAATTCAAACAGTATGTATTTATAGAGAACAGTTTTCAGACTTTTAGTTATTGTAATTTTCTTTCATATTCAAATTTTTTTTTAAAACTAATCCTCATTATGAAACTTTAGCCAACTAAAATGCTTACATTTGTATGCAAACTACTGGATTTCCAGTATGCATGTGAATTATCTCGAGCTGAAACCCGAAACAAGAATGATAAATCGGATGAATTGAAACAAAAAGCGGAGAATGAGATTTGGAATCAGAAGGAATCAACTGTCGAAGGAATAGACAGTAATGCTTCAGAGAAATGCCTGAGGAGTGAAAAGAGAATTAAGTATGTTATTGAATAATGGCCTAATAATCAGATATAAATACTGGCTTAGACAATCATGAATATTGGCCTAAAAATAATTGACTTGAAGGATTGTTTATCGCTTAACAAAAAAATTCGTTCTGTGAATTTATCTTTCTTTTTTAATTTACTGATTTGTTTATATGTTTATGCTAGTTATTTTTATTTGATTGTACACTGCTAAAAATTTAACATTTTCAGTGACAAAAACGATGGTCACTTAGATAAGGGTCCTTGGCGTACACATATACAACGTTCCAAAACGGCTATTGTACGACCACAACCGCAAGTTGTTGTCACACAGCGTAGTCCAAGTCCAATGCCACGTAACTTTAGAACTACTGTGGAAGAACGAAAATCACGACTTCCATTAGCTACCACACAAAACAACAGATATTGTAAGTGTTACTGTTTTTATTATTATTGTTGTCCACTGATTGATTAAATATCGATTGATTGGTAAGCCACGGGTTAAATAGTTGGTTAGTAAGCTATGAATAAGTATATATATATATATATATTCTAGAGGTTAAGCAAAGTTCAGCAGCTTCAATTGTGCTATTGATTTGTTATCTAAAGGTAAATATCGATTTTTTTTTCTTTGAAATTGCAGTAGATACAAAACATAAAACAACAACAACAGCATCACCAGCGACATCTTCAGTCAGCAGGACCTTACCATTAACAAGTCGCAGAGGTAGCACTCAGACGACAACCAAATCTTCTCTTTCAACAGGTCGCAGAAGTTCAACAACTTCAGCTGGAAAACCTCCAACTGGTTTAAGTGCTGATAACACAAATGGTTTGTTCATTTGTTTATTTTTTGACGTAAAATCTCAAAATTGCTTTGGATTTTGTAAAATAATTCAGTTTTAATATCATTGACAGCACGTCGCTCCTCAGCAACTACCGTGATGTCGCGTTCGGTGTCATCTTTAAATGGAAAAGTTGGATTAATGCCATCACAATCCACCGACTCAGTCACATTATTTGGCCAAGGGCTTATGAAAGTTCGCAGTTTTTCAAATATAGCCAGGACACCAAGTCATCTGAGTATGAAAGTGAAAAGTATTAATTAAGTGATACATACAGAGACAATCAGTGTTTATGTATTCTCTCATATGTGTAAACAAATCAATATTTTTTTTCTTGGATCTCTTTTGTTAAAAATAGAAATTTAAATTGAGATAAAACCAAAGAATCCTATACTGATTATCTTCTCTAATTATTCCTAAATTCACAGTGTAACAATGGTTAATATTCATTTTAATTATGCATTTGATCATCTGTTAGTTGTTTTACATTCTTATTCAATTAATTTTAATTTTGATAAGTTTCACATTTAAACTTTGATTGGAAAAAGATCACTTTTAGAAAATAACTTCTTTCCAAAATTAAACCTTTGTGAAATAGCACTAATTGATATTAATTAATAGGATTGTATTAACCTCAGTCACTCAATTGTGCAGTACAGGTGTGCCTTTCGACGTAAAAACGTTATGTTAATACGTCGAGTCGAAATGTTTGTAATGTATTTTTTTTAGAAGTGGATCTCAGCACATCATTGAGTACCTTCTTCATTGGTAAACTGTAAATTTAAGTTAATAGTCATTTCCTGATTTGTATAAATAATAATCCTTTTTGAAAAATGTTGATTAGATAAAAAGTGTAGTTATATTCGAGAGAACTTCCCGATTTCACTGATATGGATACAATTTTGATCCTCCCAAAACAGGTATACAGTTCAGGTAGAGAGCATAAATATCTTTGCCAGAAATTGGAAAATCACATCGATTGTTATGCAAAATGCCAAATAAAAATTCTTTTCTAATTCAATTAAAAATCATTAAAAGGCCTTAAATTTACCAAATATACCATCGAAAATGACTGAAAAAAGATTGTAACCAATAATTTTAAAGCGGAAAAAGCTAAAATTAACAAGCCAATTCATTTTTGTTTTAGAAATATGTTTGATTTCGTCGATTTATCCCCTGAAGATTAAAAAATTTTTTACTTCATCATTTTCTTACCATTTAAAATTAAAAATTCAAGTTGTTTATAACATTGTGAAGAAAATATATGGACTGAAAATATTACCTCATGGAAAATGCTGAAAAACATCAAAATGTTATTATGGTTTATTGAAAATTCAATTGCAATTCGTATTTTTCTCAAATTCGTTGTGAAAATTAGTTGGAAATGATATCAACTGAATTTTGATTCATATTTTTATCGAATTCGTTGTCCAAATTAGTTGAAAATGATACGAACTGAAAATTTCAAAAGCATTAGAACTTAAATATGCGAAATTTCGTCTCGTCGATTTGCTTAAAGTTAAAAAATTTTGGGAAACATCTTATTGATATTTTAACATTTGAAATTAACACCCACACTTTTTCGACAATAACTTATAGTTACACGTTGCGAAGCTTTCAGAAAGCAATGTAATATCAAATTTTTCTTTACGAATTCATTTCTTGGATTAATAGAATACAAGATTATATCGAAATACAAAACTATATGGTGACATCTAAAATTAAACGGAATACTTTTCCTTTCTTAATAATCACGTATATGCGCAGATTAGAGAGTCTATGAGAGTGTGCACGAAGTAAAACAATTCCGCCTCCATTATTGTCTGCATTGATCTTCTCATCACCGAAACAACTTTATGCGCGAAATGAAAGATAACTTCATCGGTTGGCTTTATTTGACTTATTCTTTTTATTAGAATCTTTTAGCTTTTTACTTTTACTATCGATGTGCAAATTGTTGTATTGTTGGAAGTTGCGTTCAATTGCAATTCAATTTGTTGTTGTGATAGTTAAGTCATCAATAATTTACGTTTATCTGCAATAGTTTTTGATCAAATCTAGTAGGCTCAAGAATTTATACGTACCCACGTAATTATCGACTCTTTTCGCTCCGTAAAGGAAGCGTAAGAATAAAAAACCTTGCATATACAATACAACGATTGTAGAAAGTTTGCGACTGTAAATTGATAGAAGAAGTCTAACGGATAAGTTTTTACCCATGATATTTATACCCGCAATGCTTATACCAACAAACATTTATACCCACAATGCTTATACCTACAAACAATTATACCCGCAATGCTTATACTTACAAACATTTATACCTTTTATACCCATAGCATTAACCCATAATATCTATAACGATAATAGACTAAAGGAATGTGCAAATTAGTAACTACAAAGAAACATACAATACACAGAGAAGGCAACAGTATATAGATAAAGTGGACAAAGCAATTTTTTCTTCGAAAAATAATATTGTAATTGTGAACCTATTAATTGATTAATTATTTAGACCATGAGATAAGCATATGACCATCCTTTAAACTGTAGACCATGAGATAAGCATATGACCATCCTTTAAACTGCTCAGATTCGATTTGATACAGCCAAGTGTTGCAAAAATGCATTCATCGCATACTTTTTTTCTTTTTTTAATAATCACATACATGCACAAATCAGAGTGTCTGTGAGAGTGTGCACTAAGTAAGACAATTCCGCCTCCATTATTACCTGCATGTGATCTCATCACCGAAGCAACTTTATGCGCAAAATGGAAGATAACTTCATTGACTGACTTTATTTGACTTATTCCTTTTCTTATCATTTAACTTTTTACTTTTGTTTTTTACCTTTATTAATGGGCAAATTGTTGTATTGTCAAAGTTACGTTTTAACTGTACTCTTGTATTTGCCGCCTATATCTATGGTTTTTCAGCAAATATGGCGCATGCTGAAGCGTACGGTCCAAATCTGCCAACATTTGCAGATTTGAAGAACCATCTGCGCAAGGAGCCGCTTTACTTCCAGGTATTGGAAGGATATCTGCGAAATACGGCCAAACTGGTATGTTTAATTTTGGTCTTGGATTTATTTATGGTATTATTCATTGAACTCTCTATTAATAATTGGTATGATTTTTCAGATTGAGGATTTGAGGGCGAAGTTGGACAATGAAACGAATGAAGTTCCAACGGCAGACTTGAGAATCCGCCCAAGTACTCCGCCATCTCGGGAACAGATAGAAACGTTCCATCAATCTGTGGAAATCCAGTGCGATCTGGAGCGGGAAGCGGAAAATGAGGACCAGATCGCCCTCCACCTTCTCGAACAACAACAACAAGCTTTAGAGCAAGAGGAAGAACCAGTGCTGGCACTGGTAGACGCTCATGAGAGCTGTGAGGAGATGGAGGAGATGGCGGAGGAGAGGCAAGTATCGCACGATGAGGAAGGTTACGATGCGGTACCAAGAACGTCTGCGGAAATTCCAGAACGCAGTGAAGCGGAAGGCATTTGCGAAATAGCACTGTAAGTTTTATTTCTAGTAATACGAGTAATTAACTCTTCATAACTGCCTGAGTTTTTGAATCAAAGCAATCAGTTTAGCAAATGTTTGTGTTTGATGAGCAGTTAAGCTTACAAGAAGTAGTTAAAAAAACACTGAAATTTTGATATCTTATAATAAATGTATTTCAGGCGTTCACGGACGATACGGATTCCACAACGTGAGGCAAAGCCAGTAGTGCCGGAAGCCTTTCATGCGCCGGCAGTGCAAGGTTTACCGGCGCGGTACCAACAACTGCTGGTGAGGCCACCGATTGACCCATACGTAGTTATTCGAAATGCTGATGGGTCAACCACAATTTGTAAATTTAAATTTATTTTATTAGTGCATTGAAAAGCTTTATGTGAATGATTTGAACGAGTCTAGTACGAATTTATTTTCAGAGTGTGGAATTTGTCCGAAGGAATTCGGAACTTTGAAGGGATGGCGAATTCACGCCAGCAAGGTGCACAAAAAAAATGGTAAGTTTATCTTCAATCTTTAGTGCTACCTGCTTGAGTATGAGTAATTTTTGAAAGATTTACCTATTAATGTAATATATCTATTTCAGGCTTCTGTCAAAAATGCGGCCATTTCGTCGATATGCCGCATGTTCGCTCTGATGACGAAATTACAGCCATGATGGAGCTACATGCTTTGGAATGGTGCCCTAGGGCCACGAAGGCTGTTATGAATGACAGAGCTATTAAACGACGAAGACTTGAGTTGGTGGGTAGAAACGAAGAGGCCGAGCACTACTATATTCCTAGTAAGTAAAATGTTCCTGTCTAAATGATTCAAATATAAGAAATTATTGAAAAAATTATTTAAAAAATGGGAGATTCATTCAACCTTTATCTTTTTTCAGGTGCACAATAATAATGAAATCTCTACCCAAGCCGCAACTCAATCGATGCACCAATTCAAGAACCATCTCTGTCCAACATCGCTCCACTCAGTCAGTTTTCTTTTCCTTGCGCAGGTAACCTAATTTACTTACTGGTGGACTGATCTAATTTTTTCGTTTTTTTTTTTTTGCTAGTTTTTTGTTATTATGTTAAGTTTTTTTTGTTACTTGGTTACTAATTATTAGATTTTTGAATTGTTACTAATTTTTGATTTTTATTAACTATTGAAAAATCACAATGAAAAATTTGATTGTCGTCCTTCTATTTAGTGAGATTTTTTCGAATTCACTATTCTGCCATTTGTAATTTCGAAAAAATTTCGCTTCTTTTGCACATAGCTTTTGATCCTTGATGCATTAAATTCGAATTTGGCTCTTTAAATTTCTTTATTTCATTGTGATTTTTATTTTTAATTATGTAATTCTACTTTTTTCATGTTTGATTTGTTTATTAATATGTCGAAAGTAAGAAAAAAGTAAAAAAGTAGAAAAAAATAAAAAATATAAAATATAAACAAAAATAAAATAAAACAAAAAATGAAAAAAGAAAGTAAAAAAAAAAAAACAAAAAATAAAAAAACAAAAAAACAAAAAAAACAAAAAAAGAAAAAAATCAAAAAAACGAAAAAACAAAAAAAAAAAATAAGAATAAAAAAATAAAAAAAAAAAATAAAAGAATAAAAAAAATAAAAAAATAAAAATGAAAGGATTTAGTGGCATTATTAATGCTTGGCTTGTTGTTTTATTAATTCTTGAATTTTTTTTTTGTTTATGTTACTTATCTTTTTCACAAAATATTTCTTATCCCTATCATATTGTCATGTTTCACTTATGCCGTTAATAATTCTTTCTGGATTTTATTAGTGTTAGTATTCATTTTTTATTAATTTTTTTGAGTGTTTTTTTATTAATATTCTTTTTTGTAATTATTATTATTCTTTCTACTGTTTTTGTGTGGGGGTCAAGAATCACTGTTATAATTATGCACATAGATTTTTTTCTTTCATATCGGTTGATAATAGTTTTTTGGTCACCAAATTATTTGGATGAAATTTTTTGCTTTTAACTACTAGGTGGTCTGATTGAATTTAGTTTTCTTTTTATTTCCTTCAGATTGATAGTTTCAGTTTTATTGTTTTTGTCCGAGTTAAGAATTTAAAATTTTGATGTCTCTAAGTTTTTTTTTTTAAGTTTAGGGGTTGTTTTTTGATACTGAAGGAATCAATATTTCAACTCTGATTTGTAAATATATCAACTTTGATTTGTAAATATATTTCAAATTGTATTCATAGCAGATATGGGAGACTAGTCTTTTCTTTTAAGTATAACATATTTAGATTTTCAACAAATTTAATAATTTTAATGACTGTTAAATTGTAAATATTTTAGTGTTATTAATTAGGATCACTCGAAGTGATGTCTTTCATTTACAAATTGCTCATGAGATTTTATATTACAAAATTTTAAATGTCAATATTTTTCTATTTTTTGAGATGTGAAGTGCAAATTTTTAATTGTTTTTTTTTTTTTTATTTTTCTTTGCAATTTAATATTCATTACTTTCTTAATTCTTCTTTCAGTTTAACTAATGTATCCTTTGTAATTAGAAATATGATATGAATGGTTTTTCTTTTAAACCAGAATGATTTTATTTTTATTTTTGTTTATTTTTGCTCATCTCAGCCCCTTTTTTTAAATTTTTCTCTTTTCACTTAATATTAATTAAGCTTAAAAATATGATTATTAGCACGGGTTCAATTGTTACGATTGATTTTGTTGTTTAATAACTTAATATATTCACCTTTATTTTAGCTAGATTTCTTTGTCTCAAAATTTTTTACTTTGTTATAACAAAATTCTACTTTGGTATGCTTGTTGTAAATAATAATGTCAAGTGATAGTGCTGATAGTATTAATGATAACCACTGATAATATCCCTTATTCAGGAAGCTGTTCCATCTTTTTTATCAGTCTTTGCTGTTATTGTTGTTGCATCTTTTACTGTTTATTAACATTTTTTATTTCTAGGAAAAGTACTTATTCGTGTTTCATTTTTGCTATTCAATTTTCCAGTATATTAATATGTGTTTATTGCTTAGGTGACTATTTGTTTATTGGTTGTTGATTGCCGTCCAAAATTAACTATTATTTATTTGTTTATTGTTGATGTATTAGCTGCATTCATACTGTTTTTATATTTTTAGTAAGTTGTTTTTACATTTAATAAGTTTTTTAAAGATTCCATATTAGTTATGTCTGCTTAACAATTTTTAGAAAATTTGCTTTGTTTTAAGAAAAGGTAATTTGATTGTGTTTTTTTGTAAGTATTCTTCGGTTTCATTTTATTTCTTTTAGTTCCCTTTTTTATTGCATCTGGAATTGTGTTTTTTTGATTTTTTTTTTTTTTAAATTCATCAATGTTTTATCATATTCATCATTTTTTTTAAATAGTTTCTAATTCTTTTAAAATTATATAATTGTAAGAATTACATTTATTATTTTCATATTTATAAGTATTTGTGCTTTTTTATTGCAGAAGTTTTTCTTGATAAAAGTAATGAAAGAATGACAGTGTCTGAGATTAGAGTTTCTTATTTGGTATTAGTATGACTGTAATGAAGTCGAAATTTTATTTTTGTTTTCTTTGTGTGTTAATATTTAAGATAGCAATCCGATTTTTTTTAAAGGTTTAAATTTCCTAACTTTTAACTTTTACTATTTTGGTTTCCAAGTTGTTTGCTTGATTTTTTAGCTTTTTGCATTATTTAATTGTTTCCTTACAATTAAATTATTTTTATTGTGATTGTTTTCATTCGCTTTAAACATTAATTTGTTTGTCTTTTTTTGCTTTCTTGTCGTTTGCTCTTAAATTTTTGCAAATTGATACTAATAGGAAACAATGGAAATAGCACATTTTTCTTTTTTTTCTTTTCTTTGTTTCTTGTTAATGTTAAAAGAAAACGCTAACATATTTAATTTGTAAAATTTTAATTATTAATGGAAAAAAATTAATTTTTTTAATTTTCTCTGTTTTCTGTGTCTTTCTTTGAACGCTTTGTCTACCACGTAGTAATATGCCAATTTTGCATATTTTAATTTTCGATGCTATAAATTAAATTTATCTCATTTTCTCATTTTTTATAATTCCTTCTAATCCATGACCTACTCTATTATCAACTTTGTATGCATCATTGATTATTTTATTTACGTATGTGCAATTTAATTTCGATCATTTTTTTTTTTTGATTACATTTTATTTTGCAGTAAATGTACTTTTTGCATGCCTTTTTTTACCTAATGTTTTGCATAATTTTTTACTAATTAATTATTTTATTATTTCTTTTAAATTATTTTTTTGACTTATTTTTCATTATTTTGACGTATCTCTCACTAAATTTTGCATATCTTTTTTATTGATTTGCATGGTTTTATCTCACTTTTTTGCATGCTTTTTTATTATTTATTTCTCAGCAACTTGTATTTATGCATGCTTTCCTTTATTTTTTCTTTTCCATATTTTTTTGATTTGCTTTTTATTTGTAAGCTATGATTTTTGCATGCTTTTTTTTTTACTATCTTGCACGATTTTTTACTAACTAATCTATTTTATTACTTATTTTTATATGCTTTTTTTTACTTTTATTTCTTTTGTAACTGCATGTCCCTTTTTACTCTTTTGCATCTTCTTTACTGATTAATTTTAGGATTTGTCTGCCAATTTTTGCATGTTTTTTTCAATTTAATTTTCATTTCTTAGTAAGTCGAATTTTTGCATGCCCTATTTTTACTTATTGTTTTGCATGCCTTTTTTTACTTATTGTTTTGCATGCCTTTTTTCTTCGTTTGCTTATATGTGTTTTATTCTTTGTTCTTAAATGCCTTGTTACCTATTTTCGCATGCCTCTTTTTACTATTTTGCATGTTGCTTTTGCTTTTCATTTCTCGCATTTCTGTAGCTTGCATTTCTGCATGTTACTTCATTTAGTTGCGTCTATTTCATTGCTTGCAATTGCATCCTTTTTTGGCTTACTTTTTCATTTTTCAGTAACTTGGATCTTTGCATGCCTTTTTTTACTTATTGTCTTGCATGCTTACTTATATGTGTTTTATTTGATTTACTTTTTATTTCTCAATAAGTCATATTCTTGCATGCTTTTCTTCCTATTTTTATCACTAATTTTGCATGGTTTTCCACCAAATAATTTTATTAATTTTCTTATTTGTTTTTGCATGCTTTTTTAATTTACTTTTTTTGACTGTATTTTTCGCATGCCTTTTTTTACTTGCATTTTTGAACGCTTTTTTTGATTAACCTTTTATTTCTCAACTTTTACTTTTGCGTGCCTTTTCTCAGTTTTGTTTTGTATGATTTTTCCTTTTTTTTCGTTTGCATGTCTTGTATTATTAGTATTAAAATATTTCATTATTTTTGCATGCTTACTTTTATTTCTCTTCTATTTCACGATAATTTGTATTTTAGCTTTTCTTATTTTTTTTCACAGTTTTATTGATTGATTCAGTTATTTTCCTACTTATCTGTGCATGCCTTATTGATTTATTTTTTATTTCTAAGTTGTTTTTTTGCATGCTTTTTTCACTCACTGTCTTGCAGATTTCTTTTTTTTTTTGTTTGCATTTTTTTTTATTATTTGCAATTTTGTGTTTTATTATCTATTTTTGTATGTTTTTCTCTTAGTTAAATTAAGCATTTTCTTACTTTTTCCTTGCATGCTCTTTTGATTTGATGTTTCTCAGTAACTTTTACTTTTGCGTGCTTTTTTAATTTATTTTTTGTATGCTTTTTTTTCTTTTGTTTGTTTTTATTTTATTATTTGCATTTGAGTGTTTGATTATCTATTTTTCTATACTGTTTTTACTATTAATTTTGCATGATTTTTCATTAATTAATTTAAGCGTTATATTATTTATTTATTTTTTTGGTTGTATTCTCTGCATGCCTTTTTTTTATTTG